AAGTTTTTTAGTAGTTCAGTTAAAGAGAGTGGGAGTCATAGAATGAGTGCAATGGAAATATTTTAACCTTCCCAGTGACCTTCTTTGGTGCATGATAGGGAACTGTCCAATGTTCAAATAAATCAAATTTCTGCTAAGTTTCCTGAATGATGCTTAATAAACAGCACTCTACTTTGAAACCAGTCCCTATAATTTCTAAAAATCTGATTGTTCAGAAAAAAAAATTACACAGCGAAGTAGAAACATCCAAGCATGATTAGATAGTTCAGTACTGCTATTTACTATAATAAAGCTATTTTAAGATAGTTTTACTTACAAATTTAATATGTAAATAGCCTAGAGTATTTATGTAGAAAGGCTGTAAGCATTGCAGTTAAGACCTCAAGCTCTAAATCTCTGGATTTAACCTGAGCTCCTCAATGTACTAGCGTTCCATTGGGCAACTTAATCTCTGTAAGCTTCAGCTTCCTCACAGGTACAATTGGAATAATAATAGTATTTGTCTCATAGGGTTATTGTGACTATTAAAATTAGATAGTACTAAGGGTCACTAAGTAATAATTTGATCTTTATATTTAAAACATTTTGTGTCAAATAGATTTTCAGCATCTATTTAGGTAGAGAAGGTTCACTATAAACAGAATTATGCTTACTTATCAGGGATCAGAGAATATTGAAGTCCGTCTAGTGAGTCCTTTCATTTTACAAGCAAGAAAACTAAGCAGTATTATAGGCTTTATTCTGACAAAGATTTTTATAAGAGGGTGCCCCAACTCTGAGCTCGAGTGCGGGGTTGGGGACTCAGGATCCCAATAGAGCGTGGGCCTCGTGGGGCGCCTCTGCAGGTGTTCGGGGTGCATCAAGTACCTACTGCTTGGCTTCAACCTGCTCTTTTGGCTGACCCGGTCAGCTGTCATTGCTTTTGGACTATGGTTTTGGTTTGGAGGCACCATGAAGGATTTATTATCAGAGGATGAGTCATCGCAGTATATCTACCTGGGGCTCTCTGTGCTGGTTGGAGCAGGAGCGCTAATAGCCATGGACTTCTTCCAGTGTTAGGAAGCTATGAGGCAGTTTTAACGTGTGCTCAGCTTTTTCACCTGCCTACTGGTGATAATTGCTGCTGAATAACCATTGGAGTATTTGTTTTGATAGGCAAGGGTGTAGCCATATGACATGCTCAGACCACATATGAAGAGGCTTATTATAACTATTACCTTACAGATAGGGAAAAGGGAAATAGGACTCTCAGTACTTTCCACTCAACATTTCAGTGTTGTGAAACAAAAGGTCTGAACAGGTCCAACCCATATGCCCGAAGGAGCTTCTAGGACACAGACATTGTATGGATGAAATTGAGACCATAATCAGAGTTAAGCTTCAGGTCATCAGAATTTGTTGGTATTGGAATTGCAGAACTCACGGTCTTTGGCATGATGTTCAACATGGTCCTTGGCTGTGCAATGCTAGGTGCATGAGATGTGATATGAAGCCACTTCTATATGAAAATTGCAAGATACAGCTTTCACATGGCTGTCGCAGAAGCGGTCTCCTAGCTCATTTTTAATATTCGAAGGACACTTAGGATCTAAAATAATCCGCTGTTAATTGTACATTTGCACATGTATGAAGGTTTGGCTCATTAATGATTTACCCCTTGAGTAAATGCCTACTGCTTATGTTGACTGAAAGTATATTCATGTGTGATCTGCATGTTTCTGGTATACGCATTATATATAATGAAATCTGTTTGCTGGGAATTCCAGATTCTTGTTATGTGAGAGCAACAACCTATTTACCTCTGAAAAAAGATCAAAAATTTTTTATAACCTTTAAAAACTTGGTATTCAAAAAAGATTTTTCTAAGAAATATCCCATAAACTTTATAAAAAGTATTAGTTGACACATTTAAATATCTTTAAAATAGACCAAGGAATATCTTAGTAAAACAATAATAATTCCCCTCCATAAAGCCAGTTTATGCTTTTAGAAACATTATAGAGATATCCAAATTCTATAAAGAACTTATTAAACTCAACACCCAAAGAACAAATGATCCAATCAAGAAATGGGCAGAAGACATGAACAGACATTTTTCCAAAGAAGACATCCAAATG